ATCTTGATTCATTTGGGGCACTTTCTCACTTGTCTTTTTATGTTGCTCAGGTGTCTTCCTTTCTATCTCTGTGGATCCAAGACATTACTGTTTTTACCCTACAGGTTTATAGTCCCCTGTAGAGTTCCAATACTTCACCTGCTATCTGGGTTCCAAACTGGTAGTTGCTCTGACTAAAGGTGGTAATGGAGGTAATCCAAGATGGAGGCAGGTGCTTTCAGCAATGGAGTGTCAGGTTAGGTTGGGGAGCCAGGTGATGGCTTTGTGTGATATATTCAGATATGAGCTCTGTGGCATTCAGTGTTGTGGCTGTCAGCTTTCTTCAGAGTTTGTGATATCCCCAGGTGCATCCAGGCTACCTCAAGTAGGAGACTATGGTAGTAGCTGCTGAGGCCCAAGATGAAGGCTACTGAGGGATCCCACGTTAGTAGATGGGGGTCCACAGGGAGTGGAAGCTTGAGTTCCTGTGTGGGGGTAGCAACTGAGTGTCCTTCATTGGGGGGGGGGGCTTCTGGGGATTCTGTGCCATTTCTTATGCTGGTGGTCCTGCTGAGGTACTGGGGAGATCTGTGGGTATGAGTAGTGAGTTGGGAGTTCTTTTCTAACACTGAGGCCCAAGGCCCTGTGCAGCATGGTGGCTGTAATTCCTATTCCCACTAGTTGAACCCAGGTTACGGAGTGACACAGAATGCTGCCTCCCTCTGGCCTGCCATCTTGGATCCCCTTCCTACTTTATTTTATGGGTCTTCCATTATTTCCCAAGCACCAAACCAAAGTCCAAAAAGAAAGCTACAGATAAATATTTTTATGTGAAAATACATGGAAGAATCTTCAACAAGTTATTAGAAAATCAATAAAAAATATAAAAATAATTACACACTTTAAGAAAATGGTATTTCTTCCAGATTATAAATCTGGATGAGCATTCAAGAGTCAAACAATGTAATTCATTATATCAACAGTCTCAGGAAGAAAAATTTCATAATAATATAAGTGGATATATCAAAAGCATTTGAAAAAATTCAGCATTTATTTGTGATAGAAATTCTAAATAAACTACAAGTATGGCAAAGATGTTCCTTCTCACCAGTTCTTGTCAACACTGTACTAAATTCCTAGTTAATGCAGTAAGATAAAATAAGAAAATTAAAGGTACACATATTGGGAAGAAAAAAGTAAAATTTTCTTTGTTCAAATGTCAGGATGTTATATGTAGAAAATCTTAAATAATTAACAAAAATTCCATAACTAATAAGTAATTATAGTAAATTTATAATAAACAAAAGTTTATTGCTTTCATAGATACCAGAGATTTTGATAAGTAAAATTGAGATTGAAAAAATCCAATTTAAATTATCATCTCTTTTTAAAATGAAATACCGAGCTACAAATATATTAAAATGTATATAAAATATATGTATGAAGAAAGCCAAAGAAAGCTAATGCATGAAATCAAAGAAGAATCAATCAAAGAGAACTATTTCATCTTTGTAGGAAGGAATTCAATGTTGTCGAGATGTCAGTTCTTCTCAACTTGATCTATAGAGTAAATGTAATTCCAATTAAAATTCTAGCCAGTAATTTTGTGGATATCAAAAAACTAAGTCTACAGTTCAAATGAAGAGGCAAAAAACCCAGAAGAGACACTAAGATATTGAAGGAGAAGAACAAAGTTGGATTAAACCCAATTTCAAGTCATATTATATATTTATAGTAATTAAGACAATGTAGTACTGGTGAAAAAATAGGCTAACAGATCAATAAACAGAATAGAAAGCCTAGAAATAAACTCTCCTAAATATATTTGACTGATCTTTGAAAAGACACATAGGCAATAGCCATACCATGGCACAAATTAATCTGTTCAACAAATGATGCTGGAAAACTGGATATCTATATGATTTTAAAAAAGAACAAAAGAAAGAAGGAAAAGAAAATTGACATAGACTTTGGATTCTTCAGAAAAGTGACTCAGAATGTATAATTGTTATGGTTTCCATGTGAGGTGTCACCCAAAACTCACTTGTTGACAACACAAGAAGGTTTAGAGGAGAAATGATTGGATTCTGAGATTCTTAACCCAATCAGTGAATTAATCCGATGATAGGCATTAACTGAGTGGTAACTGAAGTGGTAGGGTATGGCAGGAGGAGGTGGGAATTAGGGCATAGTTTTGGTGTAAATATTTGTATTTGGCAAGTGGAGACTCACTCTTTTTTCTGATTACCATGTGAGTTGCTTCCCTCTGCCACATTTTCTGCCATGATATTCTGCCTCATCTCAAAGCCCAAGGAATGGAGCCAGCATTCTATAGACTAAGACCTCTGAAACCTTGAGCATTCAAATAAACTTTTTCTCCTCTACAATTGTTATGGTCAGTTTCTTTATTTGCAGCAGTGAAAAAAAAAACTGACTAAAACATTCATATATCTAAATGTGAAAAGCAAAATTATGAAAACTCTAGAATACAACATATGAGAAATCCTACATGACATTGGGTATGGTGAAGACTTTTTAATATACAATATCAAAATCACAATTTATGAACTTTGTTAACATTAAAAAGTTCTGCTCTGCAAAACTTAATATCAAGAGAATGAGAAGACAAATCATAGATTGTGAGAGAATATGAAAAAAAATCTGATAGAACACTGCATTTAAAGAACTCTTAAAAAGGTCAAAAATTGGGGGAAAAACACTTAGTTAATATATATGACCCAAAATCATATATACCTCCCCAAAGACATATATGTTGCAAATAACCATATAAATATATACTACATACCATATGTCATCAGAGAAATTCAAGTTAAAACTACTATGAGATACAGTTAAATATCTATTACAATCGTCAAAATTCACAACTCTGACCAAACCAGGCAGTAATATGGAGCAAGAGAAACTCTCATCCACTACTGATACAAGAACAAAATGATATGGCTATTTCAGAAGACAGTGTGGTGTTTTTTTTTTGTTTTGTTTTGTTTTTTTTTTTATCAAACTGAACACACTCTTACCATACTCTGTATCAATCATGCTACTTGATATTTTCCCAAATTAGTTGAAAGCACATATCCACACAAAAGGCATGCCTACTGATATCAGCCATATTAGTAATTATCAATACTTTAAAATAACCAAGATATCCTTTTGCAGAAAAATATGATGTATGCAAAAGGAATTCAGTAAACATAATCTTCCTAGCATATGGCTTTCATGGATTTCTTGTCTATGTATCACCTAAATGTGATTCGGAAAGCATTTTGCTTCCACATCATACCTTTCACATGAACTGAATTCTTTTCAAACACAAAATAAGTCCAAATTAAAGGTAGCTAAGAAAACATACCCAAGCTAATTTTAATTTAATTAAATAATAACTTCTTATTGCTATAAAACATGTTTTAGAACAGATTCATTCTTGAGAAATAAATCATGAAGTATGTGAACACGATATATAAATTAAAATATCTTCTAATTTTACCTTACTTACAGTACTCAATTCCTTGAAACTTGATACCTGGGACTTAATAAGTATTCAGTAAATGCAGAATACATTAAGAAAATGAGAAAAGTGATATAGTTTTGACTGGTGGATGACAAGAAAATCAATTTGCTCACAAGGTAACTTTGAAATGAAGTTTTTAAATTGTTGTAGTAAACCAAAGCTCAGAAACACTTGTTTAATAAGTTTTATATTCTACAATATCAGGTTTTAAAAATATAACATATAATTAACCATAAAAGATGGCATAATGTTATGTAAATTGCCTAACTTTATCCCTGAAACCCATGTCCACAGTTAATACCATGTGCAAAATACACTTCAAAATATGATGTAGGAATCAGCAAGTAGTTAGCAAAATCCATTGGTTCTATTGTCATTTTTCTATCTCCCAAACTGGTCTCTCCTCTCTATTACTCCCTAGGACCTGTCTACATTTTTGGAGAAATCTTATTTACTATATATCATACTTCACTGCTCAACACAGCTAATCGGGATTATAAAATTGTGGTTTGTTTCCTTTAAACAAGCCTTCAGATATCACTGATATGTATAAACTGTGTTTTGCTGAGATGGTTCAAAAGCATGGCACACTGGCACCCGCTTCTAATCCCAGTGACTCAGGAGGTTAAGTCAGGATGCTTGTGAGTTCAAAGCCAGCCTCAGCAAATTAGTGAGACCCTGTCTTTAAATTAAAAAAAAAAGAAAAGAAAAGAAAAAAAAGGCTGAGGATATGGTTCAGTGGCTAAGTACCCCTGGGTTCAATCCCTGGTAGAAAAAATAAATAAAACAAACTTCTGTTTTTAAATTCTTCTCTTTAATAATTTGTAATATGTATCATCTGTATGACAAATTTTTCAAGAAGTGAAATTTCATAAAATGGACAGTATTATTTTAGGTTTTTTTTTCTGTGTGTGTGTGTGTGTGTGCATGTGTGTGGTCTGAGGATTGAACCCATGGCCTTAGTACATGCAAGTCAAGCACTCTCCTACTGAGCTATACCCCCAGTCCAAATTGGTTTTAATATCAAAACTAGATTGGATGTTATAACTGATCCTTGATTAGTAAAACACACTGGGTTGTCTTAGTATTCGATACTACCTTATAGCATCTATATATGCTGTGCAACACATATGTTTACTTGTTGTTTAACTAATACGTAAATCAGCTTTTATTGATTGATAGAAATTAAACATTACATAGGTTCCAGAATATATCAGTAGTGATCTTATGAAATCTATTAGAAAAATTGTAATTGTTTTCAATATTTAAGGTATAACAATTCATCAAAAGTAGCTACCTTTTTTAACTATAAAATATCACATCAATGTTAATTAAAAATAATATTTATGAGAAAGTAATATTGCTTTTAAATTTATATTCCCACACTTTGATAAATTGATTAAATATATATTTATTATAAATTCCATCAACTGTAAATATATTGTGTATGTTGCATTCAAGTAAGGTTTTTTTGTTTAATCATGAGTCATACCTGAGTTAGTTCATTAATATCTACAAGTCCGTTACTGTCTGCATCAAAATATTTAAACATTTGATCCACCAACAGCTTCTTCCGAGATATGTCATCGCCATTAGGATTTTCATTTTCTTGGGTAATATATTTTTGATTTTGTAAATCTAAAAGCATGCTTTTCATTGTGCTGTATTCGGTGCTCTTGCAGTTATCTCCTGTAACAAAAGAACTAAGTTACTTAAAAAGCAATATTATTGAAAAGAAATCATTTACTTTGTTAATATTTAGAAACTGATTAATACAGATAATGTATGAAGTACCTAATATTTGCTTTTCAGTTTTGCATAATTTACAACATGGACAAATAAAAAGGAAGGGGCTGTTTCCAAGGTAGGACAGAGAACTTTGATTTCTGTTAGACCTAATAATAACATGTTTACTGAGGTTTCTCATTAATTCTTTGAAGGACATAGAAAAAACATGATAGCTTCAACTGGCTCCACATCTTAAATCCATTTTCTCAGTTTTAATCCTCATCATACATCTGTATATCGATCATTTTACAGATGCAGAAATTAAGGTTAGGCTATACTTGATATTGCGCTTAAACTCATTTATATATGACTTCAGATTATTATTATACTATCATATAATTTTTCTTCCAAAATTTTATGTATTGCTTTTCATTTCTGTCCTTTTAGAGTATATGGTGCATAACATTATATATATTTGCATGTCATGTGAAGTTTTATGACCTTGAAAATCTTATTTCTCAACTGAAATATAAGCTATTGAAGTAACAGCACATTACAGATTTTCAGTACCTCAGTGTAAAACCATCACAATACTGGAAGCATCATGATTAATGAAAATAATTGTTTGGCTTAAAGTCTCTCAAAAGATAAATCAAAACAATGGAAAAACACAAATAAAACTGCTACAAATGTTCTAGCATCATCAGATAATTATTTTACAAAGGATTTTACTTATAATGGCCTCTAACAATGGTCTTTATAAATAGTGTATGGAAATCATAGTGCTGTTAGCAAGTATGATATAAATTATATTATATAAAATATGGCACATAATATAATTTGCAAATGAAACAGGTATTATATTAGCTCAGAATTTTGAGCAACATATTCTTAGGAAAAAAAAAAACTAGCTTTATAATTGTGGTTGATTTTGACAATTAGGGTTTGACAGCATCTACAATTTTAAAGGAAGATTTCTAAAGATGCTTAAATATATGTCAGAGAAGCCTGGGGTTGAAAAACAGTATTCAAAGTTTCATTCTCTTTCAAGACAAGATGGAAAACAATCTATTCTAGAGAAATGAGAGACTATCTTCTTTTTCAGACAGTGAAATGACTACTGTTGTTCAGCAATTTTAGTGTTTAGCAATCCTGTCAAGAAGTTCCTTTTTACAACAAAGTGTAAACTTGGTGCTAAAGATTAAATCAATTTTACATTATTTTGTTCTCACTGCAGAATAATAATAAGAATATGTTTTCATAATAGCAAAGAACTCGCTGACAAAAGAGAGAAGTAATCAAATCCGGAGTCATAGCTAGCAATTTTGGTGTCTGGGGAAGGATCACAAATAGAGTCTTAAAATAAATGTATTTGTGCTTATAAATGTGCACACAAATGCATCAGGAAGGAGAGGGATATATGGTGAAAGAAAGGGGGAAGGAATAGTAGACCATTCCAAAAGTCCTGTCTTGGATTTCTGTATGTAACTCTGGATCTATATCTCCTTGATTACTCTTGCATTTCAGAGGGCAGAGGATGGTGGGATGAGGGGACTGGCTTGGGGCTACAGGAATTGGGGACACCAGAATATCTGTGGGAAGCAGATGTGAAACAGGATTTAAGCATTGAAGACATTTTAACTAATATTTAAGGTTGAAAGAGGGAATAGAATTTGGGTTGTCATATTATAATTTTGATGTAATCAAATGAATGGGATCATCATATTTACACTAATGTTTCTATTCTCCAAATTGTTGTGAATTCCTTTTAAATTCCAGGCATTGGGGTGGTACCTGGAAATCCAAAGGATATAATAATACAAACTAGTGTTTACAACATTTATAGTCCATGGAAATATACAATAAACATTTATGAAATTCTGAAAACCTTTGTAAAATACATAAATTTAATATAAATTGCCACAAATTCCTTTTAATACTAAATAGGTGTATCTGTTATTAATAATAGGTCACATGTAATGAGGACTTTATATGCACCAGAACTTATATATATATATATATATATATATATATATATATATATATATAAATTAAGTTTATATATAATAAGTGCGCATACCTTTTATAGATGAAGAACAAAGACACAGTAATATATTCAAGGTTACAGAGTTGGAATGGGTCAGAATGATTAATTTTTAACATCACAAGGATTTATTCACAGGATTATGTATAAGCAGATGAAATGAAATGAACAGATGAAATGAAGAGGATCAAAGCATCTTTTACTCCAGGGCATCGGTCTAGGGGTATGAATCTCGGGCAGAATGATTTTTAAGCACAAATCATCTTCTATACCCTCTAACTTTATTTACTCTGATCCCAAGAACTGAGTTTGACATGGCCATTCAATAGTGAAATATCAATTTTTACATGGATTCAATGAATTTATTGAAGGATTATTTATAAAGTGATAGAATGAATATAATAATAAACTCCAGCAATATACCTGTTTATACTACAGGTAGATAAAGTAGAATCCACAAAGAGTAAAAAAAAAGAGTACATGAGAGGTACTAAGTAAATTATGAGGAAGTACTGAGGGGGAGTGAATTCAAGAAAACCTTTCAAGAAAGAGATTATAACTAATGTCTACTGTTTCAGAGTGAAAATAGGGGAAAAAGTAAAGTATGTCCTTTGTATTCTTCATATTGGAGACTTTAATTGGAGTCTTTAATAGGTGACTTTAACGATTTTAAGTGAATAAATTAAGCATATTTCACATTACAATGGGTTAAAGACTAAACACAAAGTGAGGAATTAAAATATTAAGCATAACACTTTAAATAATTTAATAAGTGTTTAATCACATAAACACTTTAACAATGATTGATGGGAAAACAAAAGAACTAGTGCAGTTGAAGAATAGATATTTCAACATTAAGGCTCCTATCCCGAATAACTCCAATCAGTTAGGTAAGCAAATTTTGTTTATTTGGTTGAGTTGGCAGCATGCTTTTTCCAAAACCTAATCAACTACCCTTGTTGGATTGGCAGGGTTGGGGAAAAATGTTTTCCTGGATTCATTTCCTTACTAGAGACCAGTAAGAAATTCTCTCTGCTATTCCTGTCCTTGACGTGGAGAATATTCTGGTAAACAAGACAAAGTTCCTATTTTTTTTTTTTGATCTGTACATCTTCTTACTTCCTGTGGATGCAGTGACACTGGGAATGTGCTGATTCGTGACTGAGAGTCATTCAAAGGGCAGTTAGAATTCATTTGGCTTTGCGGAGCCTGGAAGGATGTAGAATCACTGACACACAAATGGCTGCACCTGTGTTGCTGGCAGTGCCTCTCCAAGTCTCTACAGAACTGTGGATAATTACATTTTACATATCTGATAGTGCAACCATCAGTTCTGTGTACATGATAAGTGCTAAAAATTATAGATTATATCAATTATGCTTAGTATAATAGGTTTTTGCAAAGGCTGTGATTTGTTCTTATCTCTTTGAAATTAAATTTTATCCTTCCCTGCCATCCTCCAGTAAAAAGTACCAATTCCTTTTAAAACAAAATATTTAATCAAAAGCATTAATATAATTTTTCTCTTTTAAACATTTATTGTCATACTTTGATTGCAATATAAGCTGAAATCTAAGAAAACTAAAAAAACAAAAGTGAAATGCTTTTAATTTGGGTGTCAATTTTATTCATACATCAATATTGGAGCATTCTGCTGTCATATATAACAAATTAGAATAAATTTTTAAAAAGTATATTGGAGCTATTTTTCTTCAAACTAATTAACAATTGCTAACAGAACACATTAAAAAATATTTTAGATAAATATTTGATGTTTGTAGCAAATTTATATTTGTGGTATATGTAGAATATATCAAAATTTTAGTTGATTGATTTAATACTCATATATGAATAAGATTCAATATGGAAAATTATAATGTTTGTTTAAATATAATTAATAAATTATGCACATAAAGGAAATAAAATTATCTTGACTGAAAATAATCGGAACAGAATTAAAAACAGAACTTTACCAGCCACTCATATTTTTACTGTGTCCATAATTTTGCCTCATCCAGAAGGTCATATAGTTAGAATCAGGCAGTATGTAGCTATTATAGATTGACTTTTTTTTTTTACTTAACAGTATGCATTTAAGTCTCCATTATGGTTTCAGAGCTTGATAATTGATTTATTTTTAGTGCTAAATAATATTCCATTCTATGGATGTATTACAGTTAATCCATTCACATATTGAAGGGCACCTTGGTTGTTTCCAAGGTTTGGTGAATATGAATAAAGCTTCTATAAATATCTGTTTGCAGGTTTTTGTGTATGGACATAAGTTTTTAACTCACTTGGTAAATTCTAAGAAGCATGATTGCTGGAACAAAGGTAACACAATGTTTATTTGTGTAAAAAACTGCCAAACTGTCTTCCAAATGGGCTATGTCACTTCACATTTCCACCACCAATGAATGACAGTTCCTATTGTTCAACATCCTTGCAAGGATAATATAGTCAATGTTTTATTTTTTTTATCATTTTTGTAGATGTGTAGTAGTCTGCGTTGTTTTAGAGTTAAATTTAAATTTCATAAATAATCATATATTTTACAAAAGACTTTGGTTTCTTTATTCTTCTCTCATTTTCTATTTAGAAAATAATTGATTGTTTTGGAAAACTAAATTTAATACCACATTAAGCATTGTGAAATTGTTAAAGAAAAGCGACTAAAAATGCAATTAATTACACTGGCATGTTTACTGATAAATTTTGAAATTTAATCTTCTTGGAAGTAAGAGGGCAGTGTTATGAGTTGAAAATCCATTCTGCAAACATTTTGGTACTTAGGATATAAATTGAAAATTACAAACCCCTCTGCCACTGACAACTGTCTTCAAATCTATCCAAGCAATAACAAAAAAAAAAAAAAAAAAAAAAAGGTCTGATTTTGTATTTTGGTAGATGTAATTAA